CACCATTTGATTGGATTGTTGCTATGGGAATATAATCAGGACATTGGACACAGATTTTTCTATTTTCTGTTGAAATAGAACAGGGCTGTCAAACTCATGGCCTGCGGGCCAGATGCGTCACGCGCTGGCCACACCCACGCCCGGTTTAGCGAAGGGGGAAAAAGTCACAAAGTGACAATGCAAGTTTGACACCCCTGAAATAGAAGATAAAATATCAGTGATTCCTTCTACAATCCAATGGTCCACCCTACCCTTTTTGTCCTTTTTGTGCATCATCAAATTGTACTCTCCATTTTTGCAAGAGGGATGAAAGAACAAGGGATAGTTCAGGAAGAATAAAATAGAAATACCTAGACACTGCTTTTTCTCTCCTCGTCTTTCCTTCTAAGTTAATGTAAATATAGCCCTTTTGTAGCTTATCAGGTGTTGTCTATTTCCCCTCCCCCCCAAGTTGCCTACCATCCAGCTCATCCTTCTGCTTTGTTTTTGTCTGGTGTCATTAAATACTTTGTTCCATTACTACATTTACCAAGCCAAGTTTCCTCTTGTCTCTCTTTTTCCTTTCCAGTTTCCATTGCTTTCCCTGGCAGCAGATAACTTTAGGAAAGCAGCAAAGCCTGCATTGCAAGGAAATTGGACAGGCTATTTACAGAAAGCACAAAAGCAGAGTTTCTAATGATGAAAAAACTCTCCTCATTTTGCAGAAGCAACATTCAAGTATAGTCTGTTTTTAGACATACAAGTTTGACTTCTAAAATGGACTAAGCATGTTGACAAGATAAAACATGAACCACCAATTTCTGTTGCAAAGACATGGAAACTGGTCCTAATATTGTTCCAGATAAATATTAATTTTACAAAAAGGAACTGAAGTCATGTCAGTAAATCATATCAATTTACTTGGAAACTTTAATTCCAACTTTTTTGAGGGAAGGAAGGAGAGTGGCAGTGGTGAGAGCAAATGCTATTATGAAGGCACTTTGCCTATGGTTGTCTTTAATATTTCTTTTTGAATTTCAACTCCTAGGATTAAAAATAGCTTTTCTGTTTTGCTCTACTTCGGAGTATGATCTTCCCACACCATAGTTGATGCACAACAAACCAGGATATTACAATTGGATTTTTCTTACTGTGCAGTACAAGCTGTTGTACAGCAAAGCAATATAGCAACTTGGCTCTTATTCAGTAAAAAATATAACAAGAAAAAATACATGGAAATGCTTTCCTTTTACAAACCCAGGGCATTGAAGATCCATTTATAAAGTTGAAAATTAAATCCCAATTCTAGAATTCTTTCTCCATCCAATTTTTTTCATTTCTTCCATCCAGAAATAAATATCAATGAATTCAACAGAGTTTATATTGCAGTAGATGTGTTCAGTTAAATCCGTTTTTTACAGCTGATTTCGTTAAAAATGGAAAAGATAACCTATTCCTTCCTTCCTTCCTTCCTTCCTTCCTTCCTTCCTTCCTTCATTCATTCATTCATTCATTCATCCGAAATGTCTGTGCTCCCATGTTTCTTTTAAAAAGCAATTTCTGTTGTCTATTGCAACAAAATATTTTCAGATGTAATCTGACAGTTGCAGTACTCCAGCTTCCCTTAACTGGCACCTTCCAGATGTGGGTTGCATCTCTTAACATTCCTAACAACATGGCAAATAGCCATGCTGACTGAGAATTCCTAGGTTTCAATTACATTATTTCTGGAGGGTGACTGGTGGGAAGAAGCTGTGCCAATGGAAAATCAGTGATACTGATAACAGTGCCATCTCTAATAGGAACATCTTTTCTCCTAGTACCACCATTTTTTGAAAACAATAATACTGACAACTTCTATACACATTTATAGTTTAAAAAAAGTGATTAAAGTGGCAAAACTTATTTATTTCACTAGGCTTAAGTGGCTCAGAGGTACTGAGAGAGACACGAAATGAAAACAGTCATGAAATTGACAAGGCTGATTCTGTTCCCCTTATACTTATAAGAGTGAATTTAAGCCTGGATTGAAACCTTGAAGGCAATACTTATATGAAGACAGAGAAGGATTTACGGTATGTGGTTTGTAGTTAACTGGATCTTCTGCATATCTACAACTTTCCTCTTGGCCACAATAGACCAATGAGGGAGCCCTTGGTGCTCTCTGACCCTGCTTGTTTTCTTGCAGATGTTTCATTACCCTAACTAGGTAATCTAATCAGTGTTAGTGACAGATGATATTACCTAGTTAGGGTAATGAAACATTTGCAAGAAAAAAGCAAGGTCAGAGAGCACCAAAGACCTCTCATTTCAACCTGAGCCACAAATATTCTCATTTATTGGTACAATAGAACAAGTCATCAACCTTCCTGAGTCTGTAAAGCTTCTGCCCTTAGCTAGTTACTGAATGTGAAACTGAGTTTGTGAAAAGTAATACAAATTAACCAAATGTTGTCTTCATTGTTACCTGGAAGTATCCAATTATTTCAGCAAATAATATTTTCCAGATGTTGAATTATGGAACCAATACTAATTCTGACAGATAAAGAAGAAAAGCAAGAATGCAGTATACCATAATTAGGTAAAGTTTACCTATTTGATTTAATCTGTTTTGGTATTAGAAAGGCAAAATACATATTCCATGGAATATGTGAACTTACTCTCAACCTTTGATGTGTGCCCTTTGTGTATTACTTTTTTATTTGTCTTCTTCTCTCTTACCTTCTTTGGTTTCTCATGATGAGACACATGCTTCTCTTGTGTAGGGGATGCTGACCGACTCCTCCTTCCTCCAATAAAAGAACCACCTCCAAAATGGCGTGATGTCTTCTGGAGGCAAGTGGGAATTAGGGAGAAGATTTTGGATCAGACGGAAATAGAAGAGAAAAGTAAAAGCAAACAGGAAGAACTAATAGGCTTCTACTACCAATAACAATCTGGTTTTTATAATTTACAAAACCCTCTTCCTCCTGGAAGGAGATGCTGCCAGAGATAATTTTTGGGACCATGGCTCAATCTTTAAAGAAAAAGATCCAAACTGGCCCATGATATCTGGCCTAAAAACTGGTCAGCCCTAAAGCTCAATAAAAATGACTCATAGCAACCTTTTTGATTGCCTCAAAAACAAACAATGTGCAAAAACACAGATCTTTGAAGCAGTTGTTATTTAATAGTAATCCATTACAGTTTAAAAGATTAGTAGTGTTGTTTTCAGAGGGAGTATTTAATTTTTTTTCTATACCTTCTTGTCCAATATTAACCATATTTTATCAGCAAACTACTGCTACTATTGTTGCCTTTTCATCATGTAGGAGAAAACCATAACTTAGGCCAGGAACAGTTGTTTATTCCTCCAGGAATAAATTAGGAGGAATCCTAATCCTAAATTTCAATTGTTTGCTGAAAGAACATTCTAATTGGAAACATTGGTCACTGCTCAACATTGGCACATTTAATTATATTGTACTATCCTATACTTAATACTATGCTGACTGTATTGTGCTAGTGTAATTGGAACAACACTCTTGAATTTCAGGTATAAACTGGTTTAGAGGTGCCATTAATGAATAGGGGATCTTCTGCTTTATTACAGAACTATCTAGCTTTCATAGTAAAAAAAAAAATTAAATTTAGGAAGTTATCAATTAGGATAATGCATTGGATATCCTCAGAGACAGATTCAGAGAAACAAAGTGAGAGAGAGGTTTGTCCTTAAGGACATGATCTGCTAGTTTTAGCCTTCCAAGCAGGGTATTTTTCAGATATGATGGATTATAACTCCCCTAATCTTAACTGGTATTGACTGGAAATGATGGGGTCAAAGTCTAACACATATTGAAAATTCTAGTTGGAGATGGCTGATCTAGCTATTCATCTGCTGAAAACTCAGTAGAAGTAGAAGTACAATCTACATAAGAATACAGGAGTAAGTGCTTACATCTACCTATCTTCTGTTTATTTCATGGTAGAACTCCCCATGGATAGTGTCCTAATCAGAGGGCTGAGGGGGAAGGGGAACTGCCATGTGGATTTCCTGTCTCAGGAATCAAACTGTCTGGAAGATGCCCTAATAGGAATATATAGCAATGAAGCTTTTGGCCAGGCCTATACAGACAGTAATTTAATATGATATGGAGTCTTTTTTTTTAAGCCCTGTAACAAGAGAGGCAACCTACTCAGAATCAGCACTATCTGTTATTAAGTTTCTTAAATTCCATCATCCTGGCTTGGAAAGTTAATCCAAGGTTAAGATGAGGCCCCAATTATGCCCTGGGAGTGTTATGCCTTATCTCCCTCCCTCCCTCCTTCAGGTTGCCCTGAAAACAAGATAAAAAAAAATCTCTAAAAGCAAATTTCCTCAAGCTATACACTTATTAATATTAATAATGAAAAAAATGTCAAAGGAAAAAAAAATTCAAGGTAATATCTGAAACATTACTTCAGAGGACATCCTGTACTTGATATTAGTAATGAAGGGCAGAGTATTTCATTTCAAAAAGGGCTAATATTTGGGCTATTCAGCATTTTTATCTGGAAGTAATGCTTGATTTCCATATGTTGACTAAATCTTCCCCAACTTGCCCTGAGTATTAGTCTCTCCCTGAAACCCCTGTATGTGAACCACCCAAAGAAGCAAAGTCATCCCAGCATTTGTCTGAAGTAATTCTGTGGTAGAGGATCAAATCTATCTCTGTCTATAAATGTTTCATTTATCTGTTTTAAGGTAGCCAGCATCTGGCTATACAGAATGCAAGGCAAAACTAAAAGTTGAGGCATTTCTTTGGGACAGGAAGACATTCTCTGAACCAAGCATTTGATTTATTTGTACTTGCACTAGAAGCCACATTAACACCAGAGCAGAGGAATCTTCTGTGGTCGGTTATGGAATATTCTTGGGGCAATGAGATCTCACCAAACTTTAGCCCTGAAACATTAATTTTCTAGCGATAGGGATTTGATAACTTTCTTGATGTAGACATGGCATTGGCATCTTGTAGAGAACTCAGCATTAATTAAAAAAAAAAAAATTGGGCTCTCGAATAAACTGGAGACATTCCTTTCAATTTGTGGTATGATACGGCAACTATTTTTTAAGTATAAAGTTGAAGCAATGAACAGATAAACCCCCTTACAAATGTTCAGGAAGGACTGTATGTTCTCCTTCTGTCTGGTCACTTCTGGAAGTTTCATGAGGAACCAAAAAAGTAGCAACAACAAATCAGGCAAAAACAGATTTGGAATAGGCAACGCACTTAGCTTTATAGACCAGATATTACAATTCTGCTTATGCAAACATAAAACAACATCAGATTCTATTTCTAGAGGAAAGCTAATTTCAGGACAAGAAAAAAAACAGGGAAGAGGAAACTGGGATTAAGAGCAAGCAGATTTTTACATGATGACTTTTATCTCAACTTTCTTCACGTACAAGAATGAACCAGAAAAGAAAAATGATGCAACATATATTAGAGAAAGGGAGGTTGTCCTTCCTTGTTTTCTTATGCCTTTTTAGTTGTGTTTTAATCTATTTTTTAAAAAGGAAACTTGGAAATCTTGGTATGAAAGGGTTCAACTAATGCTCCAGTTGACAGAAATTGCTGTTACTGAGCAGGATTTAATTTCTTATTAATATGCTATTTTACCTTTAAAATGCTATTCTTATGTAACTCAACTGATCTAATCCCTACTTTATTCACGAACCTGGAAGATACAAGTAAACTAATATGGCTGCACCATTAGATTTTATTTTGGTCCCTATTTTCTGAGAAATCTTCAGTTAAGCTATGCTATTGAAAATGTTAAAAATAACAGGAAAAGAAAAAAAAATTAAATGGCTAAGGAAGCAGATTGATGCTGAAGAAAAAAATGGATTAATGTTATTCCAAACTGGCTGTTAATATTGTCCACACAAGAAATAGTTTTAATTTTTAGAAGAACAATGATAGTGCTTCTAAATATGTAACAGAGGGAAGAGCTACAAATAATTTGCAAAAAACAAAACAAAACACCCCTAAAAAATAGCACTCTGTTCCTGTTATTAAATTAGGTTATATGATTATCTAGGTCAAGGTGACATTCACTTAATCTAAATAGGTGGAGGTCAATGGAAGAAGCAGACATTAATGCTGCAGAACGATGAAAATTTCTTCATGTAGGTGAAGGTTTTTTTAAGTTTCATCTGATACTTCCAATACTGCAGGTTTTCAAAAACAAAAATGTATCAGCAAAAGGAATGTATAATTGCAGTCACTTGAAGGAAAACCTCTCTGAAACCACTATCATCTTACTAAAACCAATTTTTTACTTTCGGTAGCCAATATATTTTAGGATTTTATCTTGGTTAAGATGTTCTGATACAGATGTACAACCAGTGGTAGGATTCTGCCGGTTCTAGGCGGTTCGGCCGAACCGTTTGTTAAATTGCTGGTTCGCCCTGCCCCTTGCCAATAAATAGTGGGGGCGGGGCGGGGCGAGGGGTGGGCGAGCCAGTAATTTAACAAACTGTTTGGTGTTTTTTTGCAATTTATTGGCCTTGCAGCACACCGAACCGTTTGTTAAATTGCTGGCTCGCCCGCCCCTCGCCCTGCCCCACCTCCCACCCGTGCGGCGTCAGCCTACCCTAGTCCAGGGCTGGCAATTGTGGCTCTTTTACAACCTGTGGACTTCAACTCCCGCCTAGCCCATTCTGGGGAATTGTGGAGAATTCTGGGAGTTGAAGTCCACAAGTCTTAAAGCTGCCAAGGTGGGAGACATCTGCTGTTACACTGTAGAATCCTTTCAAGCATGAAGATGGCCAAGTATCCTCCTTGAGAGACAACAGTTGAACATCAGGAGGGCTAATAGAGGGCAGGGCTACATTTGGAAATTTTTGCATTTTTGCAGGTGGTACCATACGATCTGGTGTCTGCAATGGAGAACAAAATCCGGCTTCTTCTCTCCGCTATAAGTGCGGCATCAGGATTCCACCTTGGTATATTTGCAGCACAAGGCAGCCCTCCTCTCCTGCTGCTTGAGACTCAGAGCAGTAAACAGCGTCTGATTCGGGGAGCAGCCGGATTTTGCTCTCCATTGCTCTCTCGGCCCCCTGCAAGCTCTTGTCTCTCGAGGAGCGCTCTCTGAAGTGGTACAGGAAACTTTGGTTGGGCTTCTCGAGAGATGAGAGCTTGCAGGGGGCCGAGAGAGCAATGCAGAGCAAAATCCAGCTGCTCCCCGAACCAGACGTTGTTTACCGCTCCGAGTCGGCAGGAAACGAGGGCTGCCTTGCGCCGCAAATATACCAAGGCGGAATACTGATGCTGCACTTACAGCAGAGAGAAGAAGTTGGATTTTGCTCTCCATTGCAGACACCAGATCGGCCCCCGCAAGAGAATGAGAGAGAGAGAGTGGGGGAGAGAGGGAGAGAAAGGGGGGTGAGAGAGAAAGGGGGAGAAAGAGTGGGGGAGAGAGAGAGAGGGGGGAGAGAAAGAAATGAGAGAGGGTTAGGATTAGGGTTAGAGAGAGAAAGAATGAGAGAACGGGGAGAGAAAGAAAGAGGGGAGAGAGAAGTGGAGAAAGAGTGGGGGAGAGAAAGAGAGAACGAGAGAGAGAGTGGGGGAGAGAGAGAAGGGGGAGAGAAAGAGAATGAGAGAGAGTGTGTGGCAGAGAGAGAGAGAAAGAGGGGGGAGAGAAAGAGAGAATAAGAGAGAGAGTGGGGGAGAGACGGAGAGAGAAAGAGGGGGGAGAGAATGGGAGAATGAGAGAGAGAGGGTGGGGAGAGACGGAGAGAAAGAGGGGGGAGAGAGAATGAGAGGGAAAGAGTGGGAGAGAGAAAGAATGAGAAAGAGGGGGGAGAGAAAGAGAATGAGAGAAAGAGTGGGAGAGAGAGAGAAAGAGGGGGAGAGAGAAAGAGAGAGAGTGTGGGGGAGAGAGAAAGAGGGGGGAGAGAAAGAGAATGAGAGGGGGGAGAGAGAGAAAGAGGGGGAGAGAGAGGGGGAGAGAGAGAATGAGAGGGGAGAGGGAGAGAAAGAGGGGGGAGAGAGAATGAGAGGGAAAGAGGGGAGAGAGAAAGAATGAGAAGAGGGGGAGAGAAAGAGAATGAGAGAAAGAGTGGGAGAGAGAGAGAAAGAGGGGGAGAGAGAAAGAGAGAGAGTGTGGGGGAGAGAGAAAGAGGGGGGAGAGAAAGAGAATGAGGGGGGGAGAGAGAGAAAGAGGGGGAGAGGGGGAGAGAGAGAATGAGGGGAGAGGGAGAGAAGAGGGGGGAGAGAGAATGAGAGAGAGAAAGGGGGAGAGAGAATGAGAGAGAGGGGAGAGAGAGAAAGAGAATGAGAGAAAGAGTGGGAGAGAGAGAGAAAGAGGGGGAGAGAGAAAGAGTGGGAGAGAGAGAAAGAGGGGGAGAGAAAGAATGAGAGGGGGGGGAGAGAGAAAGAGAGAATAAGAGAGGGGGGGAGAGAGAGAGAAAGAGGGGGGGAGAGTGCCTGAAGGACCCTATCCCGTCACTGGGAGTCCAGGTGCTTCAGCAAGCGGCACACTGGATCCGTATTAGTGGTCCGCGAAATTTAAAATTATGAACTTGGTGGTCCCTGAGGTCCAAAAGGTTGGGGACCCCTGCTCTGGAGGATTTAAGTAGCTTAACTGTGCTTGCTTGCCAATACCAGAATTACAGAGTTGGAAGGGACCTTTGGAGGTCTTCTAGTCCAGAGATCTCCAACCTTGGCAACTTTCTCTGCCTGGGCCTGATGCTTCCTGAGAGGCAGGGGGTCTCTCCGAATGGGACTCCCTCCCCAAAAGGCTGGCCCCAAAGCCCTAGCTCAGAGGTCTTCAAACTTGTCAGCTTTAAGACTTCTGGACTTCAACTCCCAGAATTCTCTAGCCAGCATGGCTGGGGAATTCTGGGAGTTGAAGTCTGCCGGGCTTAAAGTTGCCAAGGTTGGAGATCACTGGACTAGAAGATACATGATGGCATAAATGATGACGGTCAAAAGTGTGAGGACCTGTCAGAAATCACTTTTTTCAGCCCTCTGGGTAGTCCCTATGTGCATATGGACTACTCAGAAGGCTGAAAAAGTTATTTTTGATTGGTCCTCGTACTTTTGACCACCTTGAACTTACTACTGTCCTTACATTTTACGTTTTGCGGCCTATCTTGTCACCGTGGTGAAGAGAAGTAGTGGTGAAATGACTGACACGGTTGTTAAGAATGCTGCAACAGGCATAAATGTGAGGATAATCATAAGTGCGAGGACCAGTCAGAAATGACTTTTTTCAGCCCTCTGAGTAGCCCCTATGTGCATATGGACTACTCAGAGGGCTGAAAAAGTTATTTTTGACCGGTCCTCGCACTTTTAACCAGTCCTTGAACCAGGGCGGATTTTCCTATAGGCTAACTAGGCTTCAGCCTAGGGCCTCAAGATCAAGAGGAGGCCTCAAGATCAAGAGGGGCCTACATTCAAATTGTTAGCAAAATTAAAATTACACTTTCACTATAGGTGAAAGGGCCTCATAAGTGGAATAGCCTAGGGCCTCTTTTCATCTAAATCCGGCCCTGCCTTGAACTTACGACTGTCCTCACATTTTACGTTTTGCGGCCTATCCTGTCACCGTGGTGAAGAGAAGTAGTGGTGAAATGACTGACACGGTTGTTAAGAATGCCGCAATAGGCATAAATGTGAGGATGGTCATAAGTGCGACGACCGGTCAAAAGTGTGAGGATCAGTCAGAAATGACTTTTTTCAGCCCTCTGAGTAGTCCCTATGCACATAGGCACGCCCACCCGGTCACATGATCAGCTAACCACGCCCATCCAGTCACATGACCGCCAAGCCACACCCGCAACTAAGCCACGCCCACAGAACCAGTTGTTAAAAAAATTGAATCCCACCACTGTATACAACCCAAGATCCAGTTCCATGTTGGAACTGTTGGAAAATATTTCCAAAAGTTTTAGATTTATTCTTCAGAACCTATGCAAAAGTTGCCATAGAACTGTTGCTTTTAATGTAACAGAACATGAATATGATTCAGTATATGTGCTGTAATCATATCAGTTGTATTTCATGTATTTATACATTTAATTAAAATATTAAATAATGTTTGTTCTCTCTGCACAGTTCTTTAACCTGCACTACTTGTTAGCAGTGCAGCCTTCAAGATGCCTCTCAAAAACCAAGGGGAGTGTTTGACTTGGAAGAAATTGTGCATACGTGTTTTAATAAGTTTTATCTCTCTGTCATAACCACAGACAATGTCTCCTCTTATATATTCAGCCACATTGGTTTCCTTTCTTGAAACTGACTTTTGAACTTCCTGTGATTTAAGCTTCTGATCTTAGAGACCAATAGTTGGGAAGGGATCATAACCCAGGAATAATGCACATACAAAAATACCTGGGCTTATTATATCCATAGCTTCTGTTTGACCTTGAAAAATTATCTACATTTTATTTATGATTATAACAAGAAGTAATGACTCACCATTTTATTGAAATGGTACTTGCAATAGCCACAGTATTTCACATTATCAACTTCCAAGACTTCTTCTTCACACAAAAGTCCAGCCATTTGAGCACTGAAATATGGAAGTGAACTGATGTAAACTGAGGCCTCAGGCATCCCAGTCAAACCAGGTTTTGATTTTGATTTCCCTAACTCACTAATTCAACTTTCTTGATTTTTTAAAGGACTTATATAAATAAAATAAATAATTTACTCCACAAACCTTCTCACCCCTGTTCTAATAACAGAACTATCAGCCCTGACATGGTTATAGGGCAAATTACTACAAAAACAATACATAGATCTCCTTGGTCCTCTTGGTGACTGCCAACTCACATTCTGATTTGTAAATGAAGATCTGAGACTTAGTACTGCCTTAGTTTCTTTTTTGCATACAGACATCCAAAATTTTATGTAATGACTGATAACATTAGAGGAGACACAATCTACTCAAACTGCCATCATATAGTACATGTTGGTGGAATATATCCTAATGTTTTAACAGAAATAAATTAATTAACAATAAGAAAATTTATTTTGTTTGTTAACAGGTAATGATATTTTTCCTTGCTATTGTTGATGCAAAAAAGAGAGAGGGGGAGGGAGGGAGGGAGAGAGAGAGAGAGAGAAAAGCTAGAAGCATTGGCGGTGTGCCCCCGGTTCGGACTGGTTCACAAGAACCGGCAGTAAAACTGGCAGGAGGCTCCGCCCACTGACCCGGACATCATCATAGGTGAACTGCGCATGCGCAGAAGCTTCTGTGCATGTTCAGATGAGCGCGCACAGGCGCAATGCGAACCAGTAGTAAAAGTAAGTAGAACCCACCCCTGCCTAGAAGGGTTATATATATTTCTGTCGGACCCTGTCCTTTATCAGAATATTATTTATGCCTTTTCTGTCCTGCAGTCTATTTCTTCGCTGAACAAGAAATCTGTCAATGAACTTAGGCTAGGAATTTGAGCCTCTCTGGGTCATACAAAAAAGGAAGGACAGGATAAGATTTAGAGAAGGGAAATGGAAAGCAAGGGTAGGATGCATATTTCCCCTTTTGCCTCCAATTGTTTTCCCAGAAATCTCTTTCTTGGTCACTTTCCTAACTCATGTTTATACCAACTAGATGAGAAAAGGGGTGCAATAGTGAAACAATCAAGCAGCATTAAATATTCTCCTGCTTTATTGTCTCCCTTAGGAAGGTCTTCCCTGCCCCTTTCCCCACTCCAGTTCTTTTATTTTTTCTAAAAAAACTACCACTACTTAATTTTTTTTGTTTCATATTTGGTGCAAAGGCAAAGGACATGTTATTTAAAAAGTAAGACTGAAAATTAAATATCCAAAATGATGGCCACCCCAATCTCAGATTTGAAATGAAAATGGAGACTTGTGATTTTCATTGGGTGAATAACAGGATGTCGGGAGGACAGGTTGGTGGAAAATGGATACAACCTTTTCCTCCATTAGAAACAGTGTTTTTAAGATGACTGAAGAGGAGAAATAAGCCAGAATGAAAACATCCATAAAACTTTTAGGTTCCAGGAAGAAGCTACAATCAATCAGAGGAATTCTTCATTCTTACTAGCTAATAGTATTTCATTGATTCATAAAAGTGATGGACGAAACTGAAAGGTTGGAACAGAAATTGGGGAGGAAGAAAGTGATTTTGAAATATATACTTATGGACTCACCAGGTAACATGGAAGGCTTGCCGACAACCATGACGATTGCAAGTCATGCAGGCTCCAGAAGCTGCTTTGCTCTCCCTGCCCTGTTCTTCACAGATGTAACAAGTCTGCAATAAAAACAATAGAACTTCATCTGCTTTTCTAATACCAGTATGCCTCTCGGTGGAGATCCCAAAATGCAAATTTAAGAATGACATTGTTTGGCAATATATAATAACTTGTGACAGCATAGGATAGTCTGGTATATATAGGGGCTACAGAATTCATAGCCTATCAATATGATCTCTGAAAAGATCTTGAGAACAAAGCCACATAATATGACCATCAGATAGTAAGATATGTATTATGGTAGAACAGTCTACAAAGGCTTTGGTTCTGCATCTCTGGAGATTTTTAAGAGGTGGAATAGCCACTTCTCAAGGATGATTTAATTGGTTTTCTTCTCTCTCTCTGGAGGGTGGAAACTTTGTGGTCTCTTCCAATTCCATAATTCTGTAAGCAAGATGCAGTTTTATGTGTGTGTGCTTGGGTGTGAAAGAGAGAGAAAGAGAATAATATTTTTCTAAGCACATGGGAATGCAATCTTGATTGATATGTCCATGTTTGTAAGGGGAAGACTTAAAACTTCCACTCCTACTTTTCAAATTTGTTGTTCCTTATATTTTCTTCATGAAATTATAAAAGAGAAAGAAACACATTTTAAGAAAGTTTTTAAATTCTTGCAATGGGGTGGGAAGGCATAACATTTTGTTAAGTTACTTGGCCAATCTTGTCTGGGTTTGGAAGCTAAGCAGAGTTGAGCCTATGAAGTGCTAAATGGTATACTATTAGAAACTACCAGATTTGGGAGTCTGAGAAGTTGGTAAAAGCAACCCAGAAGGAAGCATTGAGAAACCAAGATTCTTCTATGATCCAGAAAATTCATGGATGATTTCATATGGTCACAATTAATTGACAACATAAGGAGAAATTTCTACTCATTTTTATTGAAAAAGGATTGGGCACCCACACTTTAAAAAACACACATAGTAATGCTAACAAAAGACAGGGAAACTGCATGCTCTAGTATTTAATTTAATGTGTGACATAATTTAATGTGTGACCTGGCCCCAAGACTTCAAAATAGAGGTGGGTTAGCTAAGTTGTGATAGATCTCTCCTTTACCTTGTTGAAGCGGTCATGGGGCACATACTGGAGGACAATAGGCTCCATAGTGAGAACATTCGCAAACTGCACCTCAGGGATATATAGAGCACAGACAACATGGGCCCAGCCTGGATGCCAGAAGGACAAAAATGATATGGAGAAAATAAGGAACATATCAGAAAAAGGCATAAATCAGACCGTAATTGGTTTCTGTGGGGGATCAAGCTTTTATGGCCTGATTTTCACTGAGGTAATAAAACTACATTTTTCAGACCACAAGTGAGGCCTTTAATGGACTATTGTTCCTCCAAACAAGAGTCAATTATCTCTACAGAGAAAACACAAGATTGGGGAAAAGACTTCTAGGTGTTCTCCCATATGCTAATTATTGGTGCACAGGGTATTTGCTTTCTAAGAGAAAAAGATATAGCCCAAATCTAGTTCAAAATATATAATCTACCAAGGGAGAAGATCGAGGCTTTGAATTTCATCATCACCAGTCCGCACTTGGAGACTCAAGAAACATATAGATCACCTGATTACAGCATTTTCTCCAACTTTGTGAGAAGTACTGTATTTCTATTCAAATATGCATTCCCAGCTATAGATTAACATTGTAATTCTATGCTGTTGTAGATGCCTGAATTATAGTTCCAGCACTTAACAAGCAATTGATTTGATGATATAAAAACCTGAATGAAAAATTGACATCCTCTTTTTTTTTGGTAATATACAAGATTTATTGTCACAGTGAAAATGACATCTTTGTTATTCCTCTCTCAAAGATTCCAAACCAGCCATAATTTCTTTCTCATGCTTCCAAGTTTCATTTGTTCACAATTCTAAGAGCCTTGATTAATCTAAAAACTTCCTGAAAAAAGTGGCATTGAGTGAACCAAAAATATACTCATTATTATTTGTAATGGTGATCAAGTGAGACATAACTCCTTATGTTCTGGGGGTGGAGTAAGGAAGTGTCTGTATTGTAATTTCATAATAATAGAATTGGCAAGCATTTGGAGTAATTGCTGCAACAAACATAGAAGTTTTGTTACAGGCACTGCATTGGCTGCCAATAGGCTTCCAGGAGGTACAAATTCAAATTTTTGATGAAAAATAATTTGATTCTCAGGTACCTGCAGGATAGTCAACTTCAAGACTGTATCTGTATTAATGTTGTGTCCTATGTGGATATGCCGAGAGCCTTTTCTTTTGGGAAATTTGGGAGAGAGTGAGAAATGTTTTTCAGGAACTATATTCACCCTTTGGAAAATCTTTGCCTTTGATTGCTGGAGCATAACTTTGCCCTTGAGTTTCAGAAATCTAAAAAGTGGAACTATTCTGAAGGGCATCGGATGATTGAAATCCAATCATGATATGTCTCTTAATAATGACCTTAACAGTTCTGCTGAATTTTAATTCTTTTGCTTATTTTTTTTTTTTGGTCTGCTTCTACTTATAGTAATCAAATTTATATGACCATCCATCTCAAAGACAAGTGACCCTTATTACTGTGCTACCGTTTTGATCTTGATTTTAAATCCATAAGCCATGGTCCTCATGATACGTGGCAGAAGGAAAATATGTATAAAGTAGCTCAAAACCAAACATTCCTTGTTTAGATTGAGAAATGGTACCTGGACTGCCCTGCTATCTTGAAAAGTAAACTCACCTCCACTATCAGTCCGCTTCAATGCTCCATCTTTATGAGGACATAGCTCACATCTCTGTACATTAAAATAAAATAAAAAAAAAGATCCAAGGTTAGGAGTGATACAATACTTTCAGGGTTCCAGAAAGTTACAATTCTCATTATTCTTGATCAGATAGAAGAACGTCCAAAGTTCTTTGAGGCAGCTCTTAATTCTATAAACATGAGAAAACTGGATAAAAATATATTTTAAATCACACATTTTAGAGAAAATTTGCTGGAAATTTACATTTAAATGTATTATTAAAACTAGAAATCAAACAGATATGAATAACATATTGCTTGGAAAAAATATTATTTTCAGCACTGTGACAGGTAGATCTTCAACTAGGAAGGTTATGGATACTTGTTTGCTTTTAGCCATACTTTACTCCTTAACTGCATCACAATGTGCCCCTAAAAAGGTCATGCAAACTATCTAAACCCAAACATGATCTTATTTTTCTAAATTCTGCAATATTTTAATTTGACTCAGTTTAACACAAAGGACCAGTATTAATTGAGCAATGATCAATGTAAGGCAAATAAATTTACTCCTCAAATTGTTGTTCCAGAATTTCTGTTCCCTTATCCTTTATCTTGATCTTAACCACAATGGATAGTCCTCAGATTTCACATATACCAATTCCTTACTCCAAAAGGGAAAAGACTATAGGAAAAGTATCAGGTTTATATGGGTCATAACCAGTCTGTATACACATTGGAGGAAGGGCCAACCAACAAACAAGAGGTAGATTTTTGGAGATAGAATGATTATTGAGGAATTGGATTTAGTAAGTTAGGCCTATTTCTCAGAAGGATGTACATGTCTCTTGAGAGACAATTGAAAAAAAAAGAAAAGGAACTAGAGTAAGGGATCAGTGTATGGCAGGTGGCCTCACCTCAGGAAATTTGCAATTGAAAAGACCCTTCCATCCTCTTTGGTTCAAAACCTCTCTGCTCCAGTTTATTAGGAAAAAAAATGTAAACATGCAACACTCTGCCAGCTAGCCAATCAGCCTGCTCATCTATTCCTTGCTTAAACAAGACTGTAAAAACCATCCATGAATCTCCCCACTTTCCCCAGAAGTTGCCCTGCAGTCAGTCCAGCTGCCAAGGACAGGAGACAATTCTTTTACAAAGCAAACTGAGCTTACTTTATCTAATGGAGCCAAATTCTTTGGGAAGACAATGAAGAATGAGAGTTCCTACAATTCTTAAAAGCAGCAGCATCTTGTTAGTACCATTTAATAATGCCTTGGTAAGACCATACTTGAAATATTGCATCCAGTTTTGGTTGCCACAATATAAAAGGAACGCTAAGGCTCTAGAAAGAGTGCAGAGAAAGCAGCAAAGATGATTAAAGGACTGGAGGTTAAAACATATGAAGAATGATTGCAGAAATTAGATATGTCTAGTCTAGTGAAAGAAGAACTAGGAATGACACGATAGCAGTATTCCAATATTTGAGGGATTGCCAAAAAGAAGAGGGGATCAACTTATTCTCCAAAGCACCTGAAGGCAGAACAAGAAGCAATAGATGGAAATTTATCAAGGGTAGAACCAACCTAGAACAAAGGAGAAGTTTCCTGACAGTTAGAACAATTAATCAGTGCAATGACTTGCCTCAAAAGGTTGTGATTACTCCAACACTGGAAGTTGTTACGAAGAGACTGGGCAACCATTTATCTGAAATGGTATAGGGTTTCCTGCTTGAATATAGGGTTGATCTAGAAGGCTTTCAAGGTCCCTTACAACTCTGTTATTTTGTTAATATCTAATCTTGGATTTATCACATCTGGAAACTATTGCTCTCTGACATTTGGGATCCATTCAGAAGTAACCATCATCTCCCTAAGCACTCGGGCCCATATTATTACTTCATACATGTTATTCTGCTTTAGCCAGCAAAACAGAAGCTGTGGGGTGATTCAAAATGCATTTTGAATTTAAAGAAATTGAGTATTTGGATTATAAAACTGGGTAGTAAAATTTGAAAAATCTTTTTTTTCTTTTTTCTTTTTCTTTTTTTTTCTTTTTCTTTTTTCTTTTTTTCTTTTTTGCCTTTTTGGGCCATCTTGGTTGTTTTTGATTTTTCATTGTTTTTGGTGTTGTTTTTTTCAGTTACAGTCTTTCTACCTTTTTTTTTATCATATATGGATTAAATCTATGTGGATTAGGGTAGCAGGAACCTGAAGAGTCTGAGTGTGCAGTTTGAATTTGAAGAAATCAAATATTTGGATTATAAATTGGGCAGTAAGATTTGAAAAAAACAACAACAACAAGATGAAGAAAACAACACAACATTCATCATCACCATCAATATCTGCAGCATCTGGTACTATTGAGAAAAAAACAACAGAACCCACACCACAGCAAGAGAAAATAAACATAGAATTAAAAAATATGCTACAGATTATATATGAAGATCTTAAAACAAGATTAGACAAGGTAGATGGGAGAATGGAAAAAATGGAAGGAGAATTGAAAGAAATTAAAGAAATGATAGGGAAAAATGAACAACGATTGCAGCAAATGGAAGAAAAAGCAGAAGCAATGGAGAAAAAAGTTGAAGAGATGGACTACAGACTTATAATTTATTTATTGGTTCGATTTATTTATTGGTTCAATTTATATGCCACCCTTTTCTGGAGACTCAGGGCAGCTTACAATGCGTTAAGCCTTCATACTTTTATATATACCTGCTTAGTAGGGCTTCCCCCCCCCAAAGCGGTGTTCTTTTTTATACAAAGTCAGTTTACAATTACTGATAAAAATCAAGAAAAAACAATTATAACCCTGGAAATGGATAAAGCTGATTTTTATCTAAGATTACAAAACATTGAAGAAGAAAAGGGAGAAAATTTAGCTGAGAAAATTGCAGAGATACTAGCAGAAGCAATGGAAGAAAGTAAGGAAGGGATATTAAGTGGAATCGACGAGATATACAGAGTGCACACAAGATATGCAATGAGACATAATCTACCTAGAGAAATTCATGTCAGATTCACCAAGGAAACACTGAGAACAGAGATATTGCAATTGATGAGAAACACGACGATAAAGCATAAAGGGAGAGAAGTAGTGGCACTGAAACAAATTCCAAGAAGAGTGAGAGATTTGAGAAAAGAATGTCAATTTCTCACGAAATGTTTGATAAAGAGAGGAATAAATTTTAGATGGTTGATTCCAGAAGGAATATTGGTGAACTGGGAAGAACAAAGATACAGACTAGATTCAGTAGAGAAAGCAGAGTTATTTTATAAACAGTACATAGATGTCCAAGAGGAAGGAAGGTTGAGGGAAGAAAAAGGGGATGAACAACAGGAGGAGAAGAAAGAACAGCCAAGAGAGACAACGAAAGAACAAGAAGAGAGAGCATTAAGAGAAGGAGCAAGGGCGAAAGAAGTTAAGGAACTAAGGGAGATAAGAATGACTAGATCAACAAAGCAAATAAATAAATAAGAAATGGAAGAAGAAATTAAAATAATATTGTTGAATATAAATGGATTAAACTCAGCAATAAAGAGAAGAAAAATATTCAATAAATTAGAGAAGTTAAAATTATAAATTATATGTTTAATATTATATGGAAGTACCAATGTGGCTTTCAACAATAGAAGCGTTGACATATCCAAATATGATTAACATGGACAAGATTGTAAGATATAAAGTTATTTTAACAGAGAAGGGAGAATTAAAACAGAAACAAGGCTTAGAAAAACAAGGAATTGAGACTGACTGGTATACATGGCTGTAGATACAATCAAGCTATGATAAAGACTTGAAACAATATGGTTTTAACTTGGGGGAATCAGAGTTGGATCAGATAATGATTGGAAAGGATGAAAAAATGATTAAAAGACCATATAATTATTTATTGCAAATTAGATTGGAAGATGAAGAGGTAAAAGAGAAAAGGATAACATGGGCGAAAAATTATGGATATGCAATAGAATTAGAGAAATGGCAACAACTATGGGAAAGGAATTATAAATTGACAATGGCAACTGCATATAAAGAAAATCTATATAAAATGTTTTATAGGTGGCATATGCCACCAGAAAGATTAGCAAAGATGTTTAAGAATAAATCAGCCAAATATTGAAAATGTTTGCATTTGCCGGGATCTGGCAAATGTGGTGGTCATGTTTAGAAGCAAAAAATTATTGGTCTAGAATACAGAAATGGTTGGAAGAAATATTACATAAATCCATAGAATTAAAACCAGAGGGTTTTTTTTTAATTATTAAAAAGTTTTAACAAGTATTACAGCAATTTTTCCCATCCCTCCTCCCCCTTTCCCTCCAACCTCCCCCCCCCCCCCACCCACCCCCCTGGACTTCCCAGAGCAAAAACATATATAGCATAACAAACATAAGCTAAAATAAGCTAACTTTCTGTAGTCCCCAAACTCCCTCTTACTCTTTAACTCCCCTTTCAACTAACAAAACATAACTCAAAAAGAAAATATTGGTTTCATTCATAAGCAATTTGAAACTTTTTAGTCCGATATTTGTTTTGAATATAGTCAATCCATCTTCTCCATTCCGATATATATTTTTCGTTTGAATGGTCCTTCAAATACGCTGAGATTTTAGCCATCTCTGCTAAGTTCACTACTTTTAGTGTCCATTCTTCAATAGTAGGCAAGTCTTCTTCTTCCAATACTGCGCCACCAAGAGTCTGGCTGCTGTTATTAAATTTAAAATCAACTTAATCTCTATAACAGTACAATCTGTAATTATACCTAACGAAAAGAACCGTGGAGTAAATTTTATCTTCTTTTTGAGAATATTTTGGATAATCCACCATATTTTTATCCAAAATGCCTTAATTTTTTTACATGTCCACCATATATGATAATATATGGCATCATCACATTCGCATCTCCAACACTTAGGTTGCAAACTTGGATACATACAGGCTAGCTTTTTGGGATCTAGATGCCATCTATAAAACATTTTATAAAAATTTTCTCTTAGGTTTTGGGCTTGCGTAAACTTTACATTTCTAATCCATATTTTTCCCCACGTT